CATTTTAAAAATATTAAATCTATTGTTCCATGAACAAGAAAGACCTGCCCATCTTCTAGTGTCTTCTTCAATTTCTTTCTTCAGTATTCTATAATTTTCATTGTAGAGGTCTTTCACCTCCTTGGCTAGGCTTATTCTTAGGGATTTTTTAGTGGTGGGGGGGTTGCTGTTGTTAATGTAATTAATTGTTTTTCTGATTCATTTCTCAATGGGTTTATTATTGGTGTATAGGAAAGCTACCGATTTCTTTTTTTTAAGCTACTGATTTCTGTAAGCTGACTTTGTACCCTGCCACTTTGCTGGATTTACCAGATCTAAAAATCTTTTGGTGGCATTTTTAAGGTTTTCCAAGCAAAGGATTATCACCTGCAAATAAGGACAATTTGGCTTCTTCCTTTCCTATGTCCATCCTTTTTATTTCTTTGTCTAATTGCTCTGGCTAAACTTTCAAGTACTATATTGAACAGATGTGGTGAAAACAGATACCCTTTTCTTGTTCCTGATTATAGAGATGCTTTCAGTTTTTTTCCTACTCCATGCAATGTTGGTTAGAGGTTTGTCATATATAGATTTTTTTTTTTTTTGCAGGGATCAAACTCAGGACCTTGTCCTTGAGAGGCAGGCGCGGTGCCACTGAGCTAAATCCCCCACCCCTGTCATATATAGATTTTATTACAGTAAGGTAAGATCCTTTTACACCTAGTTTCTTCAAGATTTCCATCATGAAAGTGTGCTGAATTTTGTCAAAGGCTTTTCTTGCATTTATTGTGATTATGTGATTCTTTTCATCCTTGATTCTGTTTATGGGTGTATTACATTTATTGATTTACATATTTGAATTCATCCTTCTATCCCTAGGATGAAACAAATATGATTACTTGGTCATGGTATATGTTCTGTTTAATATGTTGTTGAATTTACTTGCAAGAATCTTACTGAGGATTTTTCTTTCTATGCTCATAATGGACACTGGTCTGTAGATCTCTTCCTTTTGGTGAAATGTTTATCCAGTTTGGGTATCAGGGTGATACAGCCTTTGTAAAATGAATTTGGAAGTATTTTCTAAGCATTTCTCTTTTTATTTCACAGAATAGTTTGAGGAATGTTGATATTAGTCCTTTAGAGGTCTGACAAAATTCAACAGTTAATCCATGCAGTCCTGGGATTTTCCTAATTGGAAGACTTTATTGCTGCTTTTTTCACTTCGTTGGTTATGTTAAGTCCTAAGTATTTAATTTTTCTTGTTATGGTTTGTGCTAGATGTCCCCCTGAAGCCTCATGCAGCCATAGGGTTTTTTCAGAGGTAGCTGAATCTAGAGTGTGTGACAATGGGATTAAGCGTGTGTGATTACTAAATCAGTTCACTGATTGGTTTGGCACTGCCCTAATCCCAGTAGTCTGGATAAGATAAAAGGGGCAGAAAGACACTGTTAAGATCCACTGTTGTTTTGCTACCTTCAGTCTGCCATGAATGGTTGCCCCTCTCCCATGTGCCACTCTGCCTTGAAGCTAGCCAATTATGAACTGAATCCTCTATAAACTGTGAGCTACATAAACCTTTCCCCTCTTAACTTTGGGAATAGGGTATTTTGTCAGCAATAAGAAAAGATAATGCCATTGTGAATGGCAATGTTTTCCAAATTTCTTTCTCAGTGGGTTTACTGTCAGTATAGAGGATCGCTATTCATTATTGCGTGATTTTGTATCCTGTTGTTTGGTTAGTTTAAAAAAGGGCTAATCATCTTGTTTATCTTTTCAAAGAAATAATTTTTTGTTTCACTGATCCTTTGTATTGTTAAGACTCCATTTCATTAATTTCAGCTCTTACCTTTATTATTTATTTCCTTCTATTAGTTTTGGATTGGTTTGGTCTTTTTCTAGGACCTTGAGATGTATCATTAGGTTTATTTGCGAGCTCTCAGACTTTGAGAACCCTCAGGCACTTATATAGTCTTCCCTCCCTTAAATGTATCTACATTGTTTGAGGCCACAGAGTCTCCTATGTTGTGTTTCAATTACGATTTGACTCTAGCAATTTTTAAATTTCTCCCTGGCTTCTTCAATGACCCACTGATCATTCAAAAGTATATTATTCAATCTGCATGTGCAGTTTCTATGATTTCTCTTATTGATGATTTCTAGTTTTATTCCATTGTGATCTGATAGGATCCATGAGATTATTTCAATTTTTTTGTATCTGTTACAACATACCTTATGGCCTTAAATATCATTTATTTTGGAGAAAGCTCCACATGCTCCTGAAAGGAATGGGTATTCCACTGCTACAGGATGGAACACTGTGTAGATGTCTGTTAAATCCATTTAATCTATAGTATAATTTAACTCTGATATTTCCTTGTTGATTTTTTTATCTGGGTGACTTAGCTCTTTGTGAGAATAGGCTATTGATGTCACTGACTGTGTAGTTGTATATGGGTCTGTTTGTCCCTTCATGTTGAGTAGTGTCTGTTTTATGAAATTGGGAGCATCAATATTCAATGCATATGCATTTAAAATCATTATATCTCCTTGGTAGATTGTTCCCTTTACTAAAATGCAGGACCTTCTTTGTCTATTTTGGCTCATTCTGAACTTGAAATCTCCTTTGTCTGAGTATAGTTATTTCTCTTTGCTTTTAGATACCATTTGCATAAAATATTGCTTTTGATCCTTTTACTCTATGTATTTCTTTGCTGGTGAGGTGAGTTTCTTATAGGTAACATATTGTTGGGTCTAGCTTTTAAATATAATCTGTTAGTCTATATCTTTTAATTAGAGAATCAAGACTACATTCAGGTTATTATTGAAAGGTATGTACTAATTGCTATTATTGTTATTTTTCTTATGTTGGAGTCTTTCCTAATACTAATTTGTTAGTCTATCCTTCCTTTTCTGTTTGTAATGTTCCTTTACGTATCTTCTGTAATGCTGCCTTAGTAGTCATGAATTCCTTTAGTTTCCACTTAGCTTGGAAGGTTATTTCTCCTTCGAAGGACAGTTTTGCTGGATATAGAAATATAGATAATCAGTTATTTTCTTGAGGATCTTGAAATATTCTTTCATGCCTTCCTGGCTTTTAGAGTTTCTGCTTAGATATCTTAGATATTTATATGGGTTGGCCTTTACAAATAAGTTAGTCTTTTTTTTCTCTTACGGCTTTGTGTTCTTTCTTTGTTCTGCTGTCTCGACATTTTCACTATAGCACAATATGGAAAGGTTTTTTCTGATCAAGTCTGTTTGTGGTTCCAAATGCCTCCTGTGGTAGAATGTCCACATCTTTCTCAAAATTTGAAAAATTTCTGCTATTATTTCACTGAATTGATTTTCTATGGCTTTAATCTACATTTCAAACTCCTACTATATGCCAAAGACTGTTAGCCTTGTTTTTTCAATCATATCCCAGTGGTCTTATGTCATTCCTTCTGTATATTCTCTGTGACTTCCAAGCTCTGAAAGCCTCAGACCTCATTGACAAAAGGCTCCTATTGCTAATCATCCATTCCCTTATCTGCACTCCAAAGAGAGATCTGTATTGTTTGACTATACCAATCACACCTGGCCCAATCAGCAAACTTCTCTGCTATTTGGTGGTCAAATCATACCTTCTCCAATGAGACATAAAACCTTTCCAGGTGTGTCCTTCCACAGACACTTTCAGCCTGAGGGAGCCACACAGAGTTTCCTTATATCTTATAGCTACTCTTTATCACACTTAATTCTTATGATAAACTTCATTTCTTTAATTAACCATATGGTTTATCTCCTGATATGACTTGGAAGTACTACATCTACTTTGTCTCAAAATCTAAATCCATTAGTATTTTCACTTTTCCACTGACAATTTCCTCAAAAAGTCACCATTTCTTCTCTATCCTCAGACCATTCTCATTCCCTACCATCTCTCTCATATACTCTTCTCAAAAATACCATTTTATTTTTCAAGAACATATACAGGCTGTCTCCTTCCTATCAAATAAAAGATGAGTTCTTTCTCTAACATGTTAAGGTCCTCCATGACTTGGCCTCCCCCGGCATCATCTGACTGGCTCAGCCCCATTGCTTCCTTCTCTATAGAATCATTAGGTGTTGGGCCCTCACAAGGTCTAATCCCATCATTACATCTGTGTTCATGCTACTGTCTTCCCCTTCTTTGCCCAATTATACTAGAGGCTTCTGGGGCCAGTTCTAAAAGCCTCTAGTCCACACATTCTGTTGTGGTAATTCTTCCTATACTTCTGTCTGTTATGTTTTCCACACATAATAAGGACATTATATTCTGTTTTCATTCTCTAAGTGACAACACTCTCCAGTGAGATACTCTTTCTCAGTAATTTGTCTGTGCATGATATACTACCCTAAGCTGTGGTAACTCTGATTCATATTTCTTCTATAACTTCCCATGCCTTTGCACAGTAGTATGCCCAATGTCACATGATGGTGAAACCAGACTAAGTTAAATGGTCTTAATTCAAAGTAGCAGTTATATAGCCAACTGTAGCTAATGCATGTAAAACATTTCTACATATTAGAGAAAGGTACCCCTTCTTGTAGGCAGATGCAGCTTAATAGCCATTTACATGACTTGACAAATGGTGACCAGACAGGATTTCATCTCAACCCTATGCAAAGATACATGACGTACTGGATCCAGGAATACAATGCTAAGTTTATCAAAAGAGTAAAAGGGTATTACAAAAACTTTTATAGCAGTCTTTTGAATTTTTTTTAGAATTTTATTCTACTATACATCACTCTAATTCCAGACAATGTCTCATCAATTGGCATTAAATTAGTTAAATGGCATATTTAAAGGTTTAGTAGCTATTGTGGTGGAATTTCAATTCATAACTAATATTAACTTATGATCTAACTCTATGCTAGACCTCTGAACTAAGTCTAGAGATACAAATGAATCAGGTAACCACCTGATTCATGATGCTTACAGCCCAGTGACAGGCTCTATATTTAGAAGAATGTCATTTCCCTAATGTTATACTTACTGATAAACTTGTTTTGCATAGTCTCCAACAGAGCTTGGTGAGCATCTTCAGCTTGTAAAGCATGTGAACATTCTCTAGCCAGTATAGTGCGCACAAGATGTTCTCCACATCCTAGAAGTCAAAGGAAACCAACAGTGGTTGAAGAAAAGTAGTGTTGAACACTCTGCTTGTCTCACTAGTATTAAAATACTTTTGTGTGTCACTTAGTAAGTAGCTATAAGAAGAACAACTCAGTGAGGGATGAAATGACTTCTATGATCAATCTGGTAATTTTAATAATGAGATTTGGCTAAAACTGAAGAATCTCAAAAGGAAAACAAGAAAAAGAAAAGAAAGCCCTTTCTCATAGAGATAATTTCCATAATACAGGAATGTACAGTCTCTAGGAATTTCCTAAGGTTCTGTTTCATTCCTACCACTGGGCAACTAAAAGTAATCCTCTTGTTTTTCATTTGGTTGTGTTCACTTAGTCTTCCAGGCAATAAATGGCCACCCACAACCACCATCCATTTCCCCTCTAGCAACCTACTCGCCTGGGTGCAGGGGAGAAATCGAGGCAGCCAAGGGGCATACAGACCCACTTTCAACCTACTTTTCACCACAGTGTCACCATATATAAACAGTTATAGAATGGTGCAATAAAAAATAGCATTTTTCTCACCTAATAACTCACAGCTTTCAGGGTAAAAACTCTAGTTCTAATGAAAAAGTGGGTTTTAACCCTGAGGTAAACTTGAACCATTCATACATACTAAGTAAGGGCAGACATAGGAGCAGGATGCAGGGACTGGTGGATACTGCCTAAAATTCCACTAGTTTCTATGTTAAAAGTAGAAACTACTTGCAAAAGTAGAGACAAAGGAATTTTAATTTAAAGACTGATGAATATTAATTAAAAATTTCTGAAGAAACAGCCTTCCTTTACCCTAGAAATACAAAACTTAAAAACAAACAAGACTTTTAAAAATTACTGAATGCCACTTATAAAATCAATATACTAAATAAAATGTCAGCATCCTCTAGCTCAAACAAGAACAGTACATATGCAAGACCTTTACAAAGATTCTGTCATTTAAAAATGTTTTTTCTTTAAAAGTAATTCCTCCCAAAAGTGTTATATTATATATATTTGTAAAACTCAATTTTAAGTCACTTTATACTTTGCCATAAATAACAGGTAAGTGTAAATGCAAATATCTCTGCAAATATCTACATTTGAAAGAAGATTTAATAGTAATTTAATAGATAACTTTGTTGACAGGATTATAGGAATCCCTATTTTGTTAATTTTTGCTATATTATTTTTATAATCAGAAAAAGCTAACAATAAAGGTAACAGAAAAAAAATGCTTTAACACTTACTACATAGAGACACTGTAATAAACTCATGAAACTCCATAAATGTTAAGCCAGGCATGGTGGTGCATGCCTGTAATCCCAGCTCTGGAAGCTGAGGCAGGAGGACTGCTATGAATTCAACTACCTGGTGAGACCCTGTCTCAAAAAAATAAACAAACAAACAAAAAAACTTCCCAAGTGTTAATCCCCTTCTGTACATATTTGATGTTGAACAGTTAAAAGTTATACATTAGGAGAATAATAATTCTTAGGAAATTGGGATAGTGTAAGCTAAATGAATATCCAGAAGTTTACGAGCACGTGTCTCAAGTCAGTTAAACTACATAAAGTTCACATTACATAAAAAATACACAATGTGTGTCAGGGAGATTTTTTTCCTCTGTTGTAATAGGAAAATATATATGGTTTTCCCAATGATTGATTTTTACTAAGAAACTGTTAACATGAGTTATAGTCCATGACATATATTACTTTTAACATAAATGCATGATATCAAAAGCTTGTTCTTCTATAAGTTCCAAACGAAGAAAACTTGACTTCTGTGGTTTTAAGTAAAACCACAAAATTCCAAGGTTTCTTAGAATATGTTACCATAGAGTTAAAGTGTGACTCAAAGGCAAATAGTTCCATTTTCCATTCACAAATATTAGAAATAAATCTTTCATTGCATCCTCTTTTTATCCTCCGATAAAAATTACCACCCCATCTTTCTCACCATACAGACACATACTCCCATATGGCAGAATGAGCAAATGCAAACAACAGCAAAACAAACAAAAAATACAGATGGATTATATCAAGAAGTACAAATAATAAAAGAGGTCTATTACTATTAAACTTTTTCTGTAATGAAACAAATAGTAAATATTTTATGCTTTGGTCACGCGGAAGACGCTGAATCACCCCGCTGCAGACAGGCAGGTCTGCCCACACCCTACTGAGGTCCCCAGTCCCGCAGAACACGCTGAATCAGCCCGCTGCAGACAGGCAGGCCTGTGCAGGCTCTACCGAGGTCCTGAGTCATGCGGAAGATGCTGAATCACCCCAGTGCACATAGGCAGGTCTGCCCACACCCTGCCCAAGTCCCCAGTCCCGCGGAACACACGCCGAATTAGCCCACTGCACACAGGCAGGTCTGTGCACGCCCTACCGAGGTCCTGAGTCACGCGGAAGACACCGAATCACCCCACTGCAGACAGGCAGCCACCTGATTCCACATTACAAAGGCGCAGAGGACACCAGACCACCAGACCAAGGTACTGAGTACAACTGTTCCCAGCCCAGAG